ACAGTACTCCGACCAAAAGTTGGAAAGGGGGGTTGTGAAATTTCTTCTATGAAGGAAGGGAAGTATTTAATTAAATATTATCTCCGTTCTCTCCCTCATATATCCCTTCCCGCGAGACCTGAGCACAATGGGCAGCTCAGGCTTGAGTATCTACTTAGAAATGCAACCTTGCTCTTCCCAACAATTTACCTCTTCACTAATTTTTCATAATACTTTGCACTAGCTACTTGCCTATGCCGATTGCTACTTTCTACCGTACAATTCAATAAGTTTAGCAAAATCTATGAACACATTTTTTTTTACACTTTTCGCAAACTCACTTGTATTTGCTTTCTTAAAGTTGCATAAATAAATAATTCCAAGTCTTCAATAGCTACCGTCGTGGCATACAGCAGGCAGTCAGGCAGCCAGGAAGGCAAGCAGATATATTTGCACATAGATAATTCAAACTTTAGCGTGCATTCATAGCGGAAGAGCTGAGCAGCAACGGCAATGGGGAAGTCAAACTAAGTAAGTATGTAAGTAAGTACATAAGTAAAGCAAAAGCAACTTTTCCATGCCACAAACGACACAAAAGCAAAGTGAAGGCGCACGTACAAACACACACAGGCGCGCATATTGCTGCAGATACTAAATGGAGGCTGGAAGATATTTGATTACGTTGTGATGGAATCGAGCGCCCTAGCCAAGAAGACGTTGCATAGAAAATTGAGTCGTGAAGCTGTGTTGCAAAATGTGTTGCATAACTCACCATGTAGCGAGCAGCGACAGCAATGTGCGCTAATAGAAGTAGGCATAAGGCGGATGAGAAAAAATATATAAAAAAAAAGAAAATTATTATGAAGCAAAGTAATTGAGCGCTGTGCTGTGAATGTAGGTAAATGAAAACCCAACGTCAATTTTTATGCGCTCGGTCTAACGTAATGGCGAGCAGGCAGAAGCAGAAGCAGAAGCGCAGCTCAGCGCAGAAGTCAGCGATTGGAAGGCCGTGCGCGTGTGTGTTTGTGTAGCTTTACGAGTGAAGCGTGATAAGGAAATCCCCCTGCAAAACGCCATTTATGCCTGAAATACGGTGTGTGGCATACAATTAGACAGCGTCATCGAATGATGAAATACACGTACACTAGCTGCTGCTTCGTCGTTTGCTCGACTATGGGTTGGTTGACTGACTGACTCATTGACTGGTTGACTGGCGGCTGTTTTGGTGGCGTATGAGTGCATAGCCAAAAGATTGGAGCAAAGAAACTAGGTCGTCACTGCGCTGTGTGCGTGTGTGTGTATGTGTACTCATGCGTTTGAGTTCGAGTGAGTTGAGTGCAAAAGCACAATAATAATTAAGCTTATTATAAATGGCGAGGTTGTTTGGTGTTTGCGGTTGTGGTTGCGGTGGTTATTTGTTGTTATTGTAGTCGCTACTACAATCGATCTACCGAAAAAAAGCAGAAAGCCAAACATCAACAGCAGCGTAGATAATGAAAAGTTGTTGCGGAAAGACGCAGAGCATAGCAATCAAGTAAGTAACAAAATAAGAGGCAACAAAAAACACAAAAGAAATACAAACTAAACTTGGAAATTAGGACTGCTGCAGTATAGCTTAGCACTTGATGGAGAGCATAAATTCATATTTAGCAGCATATGCACATTTGACTGCCTATAATTTTTACAGTGCATGCAGCGCAGCCACGACACTTAATTGGAAATCACAAATGCGAGTGATTAACTTGAAGCAAATGCATATGGTGGTGGGGAGAGATAAGAATTTGAAGAACCCCATTTATATGTACATATATCGTCGATGTTTTTGCAAAACCGCCCATCGACCAGTTGCAAAACCGCCTAGTCGCCGTTGTGACAAGAATGAGATTTGGTAACCCTGAACTCCAGGCATTGAAATTTATGCATAAAAATCGTAAAATATTTATTAAAACAACAGATTTGTAAAATAATAGCTTGAGAAAATAGCACCTCTCAAGGCGATGCCTTCAAAGAAAAACCGTTTTTCGCTCTCCTGTAAAATATATTAGCGCTGTAAGATAGGCAGTTGGTTTGGCAATTGGACGATGCGCGGTTTTGCAAAAACGTCGACCATATGTATTTACATAATTTATTAAATTTTTTTGATAGATTAATAGAAAATAAATATATATATTGAACCTTTAGAAGTGACCTATACTTTGATATTAATATTTTAATTCCACTAGTCCCTAGTCTGAGAGCTTGCTGCGACTTTCAAATTTTCGCCATGGCCATGACCTAAATACTCGTATCGTTTTTTTCATAATGAAAGAAAATTTTGAGGCGGAAATTTCAGTTCTTTCGATATCGCAAATTGTACGGGCATTCGGATTTTTTACAGTTGTTTGGCGCTTGACGCGCCAATTTAGGGACGGCAGACTGATGAAAGCAAAATAGAAATGGCTAGCAGCTACGAGGCTTCAGGACGGTAGCTAATTTAAGCCCTATGCCACTACAGCCTAATGCCGCAAGCATGATTGTGGGATTCTAATAACTTTCATCTTGAAAGATTTATTTCATGAGCCGTTTGAGAATTGGATATTTATACCTGTTAGCCATATAAAATCGTAGTGAAAGAGCGCAAGCATACAATGCTGCATACTTCTAGACGCGCTAGTTGGTCAACAGCTATTAGCTGAGTTAATGTGCAACTCGCCCAAATCGCAGAGTAAAACAGCTGTAAAACTGTTTGTACTTACATATGTGTAGGCAATCATAGTTTAACTGCTCTATAAACTTTGATTTCTATTTTAAATTTAAAGCAATGCCACAATATCGAAGTACCGCGCAAGTATGTATGTATGTATGTTCAACAATTTGGGAAACAGCTGGCGCAGTAAAATTTCCCTTAATTTTCCCCAATTCGCTGTACACTTGAACTTAATGCGACAACAAAGGCAAGCGGCAAGCGGCAAGCTAACCCAAC